TGACATACATCGCATTGTGTTTAAGTTAAATCGTATAGAATGCAAATTTGCGACTTATATGCGATGAATCATTTTTCCATCGTACTGTACCACAAATTAAATCGGATTACATCGTAAGGCTTTTCAAATTGAATTTGTTATGACAGATTAAATCGTATATGATGCCAAATCAACTCGTTTAATCAAAAATTAAAATTTGCACGTATATGGCCTCCACTGTTGTAGGTATAAGCCCTTTTTTTGCACTCTATACGATTTGATTGTTTGTATATATGTTTGTATATCACAGAAACAACTTTGAATATACGTGCATTCTGGTTGTCTGGGATGTCTTCTTCAAGGTTAACTGCAGCTACTACATAATCCTCTTCTGGTCGGATACTGCGGTCAATAAGCCTTGATAACAGTCTGCGCATCGTTGGTAGCCACACAGCCTGGATCTTGAAGTCATCTCTGTAGCCGGTTTGCGATGTGTAGTGGAATGCCTTTTTTGGATCCAAAAATCGAAGGCAAGGGCTTATGGTCCGTCAGCAGTAAGTACTTGTGCAACTTCGTAACAGCGTACACCAGAGCAAGTGCCTCCTTCTCCGGTTGACCATATCATCTCTCCGCTGGTGTGAGTGAACGTGATGCATGTTGAATCGGTTTCAAGCTTTCGTTCGGGAACTCATGAAAACAACCACGCCGATACCTGTGCTGAACGCGTCCGGGAGCTTGGATTGAAAAACTTTCATGAACTCGTCGAAAGACTGCTGGCATTCAGAGTTCCACTCCCACTTCACTCCTTGCTTCAACAGCACGTCCAGGGGATGTCGCAGATCGTGCATGTTGCGAACAAAACGTCCATAGAAGTTCACCGCTCCAAGGAATGAACGAAGGTCGGAAATGCAATGGCCTTCAGCTTTTCGGGATCCGGCCGAATGCCTTGAGGGTCGACAATGTGTCCCAGATATCTAATTTCCATTTGGTAGAATCTGCATTTCTCCATCTTCACATGAAAACCATGCTCTTGCAAACGGCTGAGTAGCTTTTCGAGTGATGCGGCATGCGATTCCCAGTCCTTTCCGAAAAGATTCAGATCGTCGATGAACCAACGAGTTCCAGGAATATCTGCGATTATACTGTTTATCAAGCGTTGGAATGGTCCTGGAGCTAACTTCACTCCTGGGGCGAGCCTGTTGAACTGGAACAATCCTCTGCAGGTGTCGTTATCGTAAGGAGTCTCTTGGAACCGTCATCCACTTCCATCTCTTCGGTGGTCGGTAGCCGATAGTGATAGGCTTCCAACGAATCGTTTAGTCCCGTAGAATAATCCGCACAAATACATACACGTCCGTTTGGTTTCCGAACTGCTACAGTTGACGCTGCTCATTCTGAGAATTCCACCGGTGTGATGATTCCAAGATTCTGCAGACGGGTTAACTCAGCATCCACAAGTGGCGCTGTGTTGAACGGAACTGGTCGTTTGGGCAGAATACAGGTTTAGCTTCAGGCTTCAGGAAAAGCTTCACCTTTGTTATGTTGCAATGACCCAGTGATTCGTCGAAAACTTGAACGTGTTTTGCTTGAAGCTGTCGAAGTTCTTTGATGGCATGTCCTTAGATCCAATGCGGTTACAGATTGAATTGATCAGTACTGACCGTAGGTTGAACAGGTCAATCCGCTCAATGTCCAGAACGTTGAGGTGCGGAGCCGACGTGACAAAATATCTTCCTTGCTTCACCATGCCATTGATAGCTGCCTCGCATTGGAACTCACCGATCAAACCTAGAAGTTCGCCGGAAACCATTGTAATGTCGCTTGCAGAATGCAATTGAAGTGCAACTGCAACTCCGTTGATAACAGTCGTTACAAATTTCATATTTCTTTCAAAGTATTTTTTTTTTCGAACATGAAGCTTTAGTGTGATAATTTATTAGCTAGAGAATGGTCTTAGAAGAGGGTAGATAGATAGAGTACGGCAGTATGAAACTTGAATAGAAGGGCGAAGGGCCATTAATGCGACAGTGCAAGTCAAGGCATGAGTAGCCGTCAACGATGCTGATGATGGTACAGCACGCAACAACCACCCTACTGCTTTCTCTCTGAGATAACTACGTTGGTCATGACGAGAGGAGTAACACAATAGTTAGATAAAGAAGAATTATAACACACATTATAACACACAATCGACTGGAAATGCTTTCGGCAACGTGGAGCTTTAGGTAGTGATGAAACGTCTCTAGAACTATTCCACAGCCACAGGCAGTATTTGAGCAAACTCAGGCGCACACTTTTTGCCTGTAGATTTGAAGACATACCTACTTCAAATCTCCGCGTACGTGTGAGGCAAAGAGTATGCCTTTGACTTGCACTGTCGCATTAATGGCCTTTTCGCTCATTTTCCACTTCTATTCAATTTTAATACTGCCGTACTCTAACGGAAATATCTACCTACCCTCTTCTAAGACCATTCTCTAGCTAATAAATTATCACACTAAAGCTTAGTGTTAGATAGCATTTCCAACCAACTCTTCCTCTTTCTTGTTTGATTTGCAATTTGAATCACGACGAAAAGTCTTCTGGTTTGGGATGCAGAATTGATTTTCTTCCCGTTGAAACGCTTCTCTTGAGATGACTTGAATGAGCTGTCCGAGACTTTCTTGCCGTAGTCTTGCATTGATGTGTAGAAAACAAACAATCACAAACGAAATGCGAAATACTATAACTTTGTAACGAAATATGATAGAGATCTGAAATTTCCTCACATTCCTAATTTTCGAAAACGAAAACGAATATTTTGCTGTCAAAAGAAGCTTTCAACGACCTCTAGGAGTGGCGTTCCAAAAAAAGTGACACATTGTGCATTAGGGTCTATAAAGACCCAGACTCCAACTCGCTCCCAAAAATAAATTTACTAATTCTTGATGTATTGGCCTCAAAAGAAAGATAGAGATTCATAGAATGGCATCCTGTCCAAGATTTTTAAAATTTGGCCGTTTAGGATACCTGGCACCAGTTCCAATAGGAGCACAAATGGACACTTTCAAAAACTCATGCACTGCTACCGTCCGACGGCTCCAAATTTATGATTTTTCATCCATAAGTAAATAGACATCATGCCATGGACCAACAAGTGAATCTGGCCACATCTGGATACCTGGAACCGGTTCCTGTAGGGCCCCAAAAATGACACTTCTTAGCCGTCATTCAGTAGTATCGTCTGACGGGTCAGACATCATGCCATGGACTAAAATGTGGATCAGGCCACATCTGGCATGGCATGACGTCTATTTACTTCTGGATGAAAAATCATAAATTTTGAGCCGCCGGACGGTACCAGTGCATGAGTTTTTGAAAGTGTCCATTTGTGCTCCTATTTGGAACCGGTGCCAGGTAGGCTAAATGTTCAAATTTGAGGAATCCTGGGCAGGGTGCCATTTCAGAAACCTTCATCTTTCATTTGAGGCCAATAGATCAATAATCAGTTCAAAAATAGATTTTTGGGATCGAGTTGCAGTTTGGGCCTTTTTTGACCCGCTAATGCGCAATGTGTAACTTTTTCCTAGTGCATTAGGAAGGTTGATTCTCTTTAAATCTCTATAATTCTCTTTGATTTTCTATAGAACTTACCGAAGGAAAATGCAGTATTGACCCGATTTTGTCGGTTCCTTTGCTACCTCAAACTTTTATCTTTCAATAATTTCACACAACCCTAATTCCAAATCGTTCTGTTTTATCTTCAAGATGGATGTCTAAGATATACTTTAGTTCAATAGGACTACTGAAAAAGCACGTGTTTTCGTAGAACGTTAGAAAACATTTTCAAAAACGACAAAATTGGGTCATTACTGTATATAATTTTTCTAGTTCCTAGAAATTTCCATGAGGTTCATTTCAGAATTCTCTTGGAAATCTAAACAGAACTATTTAGAAATTGATTAGGATTTTTTTTTCAGTAAATTGCCTTGAAATTCAGCTTAGCATTCTCAAATCATGTCCCGGGAATTCCCTTCTATTTTGAATTCCTTTGAAAACAACCTATTTTGATCTCACAACTACAGACTGCCTACCAAAAGGTCAAAAGTTGATCCAAGCAACCACGATTTAGGCCTGAATAATTCTAACAGGAAGAGGAGACAACTGGCTTGTTTTTGTCTGTGACGTGTTCTTCTTCTCTCGCGGAAACGACCGTGCAAAAATTAATTCACTATGAGCGACGCAGCCGACTGTCAAAATTCAATAAAACAGATTCCTTGTTGTAAAAATTCTCGCGTTTCTATACGTTCACCCGACCAATCAGACGCTGGTTCTCGTATGACAGAAAATTGATTCAAAAAAGCCCCCTATTGTCTCCTATTCCTCTTAGGGATAATTCTTTAAAACCTAGATATTTAAAACTAGTGAAGTTACTTGGAGTATTTGATCATATTTAGCTGTTCCTATTACACCGGAAAGACTATGTTGGACAACGGGGAATTTAAATTCCTCAATTGAGTAAAATTTAATAGGCAGAAAATGAATACGTTTTATCTGAATACGACTAAGACTAAGACTGAATACGAACGGATGAGCTGTCAAATAAAACATCTACAAGTTCTGAAATTTAATAAATTCTTGCATATGCAATTTTAGTTCATTCTTGATTCACATAAAACATGTTTTTTACAGCCATTCGGCACCTTTTGGTTACTAAAATAAACCTACAATGAAAATTGTTTTCATGTAGCTACCAACACGATCACATGAAAATTGCATTCCAGGAAATAGAAATGTTCTGATTAAAAAAGTTTATTACTATAATCGAATAAATCCAAAATGATCATTAACTTCCATGAATAAATTGAAAATCACTATTGCCAGTGCCTAATTTCCCCTAAAATACGAATAGATTAGATTTTTCGCAGGATTGATACAAAGTAAAATCAAATCCGCAAATTTTCTACGGCATGTCTTCCGACAGAAAGCACCGCCTCAACTATTCACTACAAGGACTAAATCAGCTTGAAGCCACCACTCACCAGAAATGTCGGCCCACTCGGGCGAGGTGAAACTGTATTTGCCCTCCATGATGTTCCGCAGCATGACCATCTGCTTCCGGTGCCAGAACGGTGGACAGCCAACTAACAGTGTGAACATGATGACACCGCACGCCCAACTGCAAGAAGATAAAGCAAAACCTGCTGGCTTAGTTCGCTCGTTCCATCCGTTATGTACTTCGCAAGATATCGCCCGCCACCGCCATAACCGTCACGGATTCGCGTGCAATTTGCTCAATACATAGTGCTGCGCGTACGTACATATCGACTTCCTTTGAGTATCCGGGTGCATCCTCAAACATGTTACACTTGAGCGTTTCCGGGGCTAAGTAACCAGGCGTGCCGCAGAGATCTAGGTGAAAGGGAATCACATAAGAATAAGCCATACCGGCAGAGGTGGTAGGAAGGCATCACTCACCAAACAGCTTCTCGCTGTCTTTCAGCCTCCGAGCGAAACCGAAATCGGTAATCTTCACGTTCAAACTGTCATCCAGGAGGATGTTCTCCGGTTTCAGATCACGGTGTACGATGTTCCTCGAGTGGATGTAGTCGACGCCTTCGAAGATTTGTCTGCGGAATGCAATGAAAATGAAATTGATTGACACAACCCACCCAGTCACGATCCGGGGGCCGTTCAATTCGACATGCTCGATCGATTTAGATCAAGTTCTCCAGCAGCACGTTGCACCTTACCTCATGATATAGCGCGACTTCTTCTCGGACAGTGTCACCACCGAGGTCAGATAGTCAAACAGCTCACCCTGCCGGCACAGCTCGAATACCAAAAAAATGAAAGCGTCCGATTCGAACACATCTTGCAGTTCGACTGTTGGCCGAAAAAAAAGAGAACAAAACAATTCGTGTTAGATTCAACCTTAACCGAACAAACGGACTGTGATGCTTGCGTGACACCAAGCAGGTCTGCAATTTCGTCAGCCACGCACCGAATGGCTGATGATGGGTGGGGTATGAAAGTAAAATCCGACAATTAAATTAAATATACTCACTGATAAACTTGTGTCCCATCACTTGTCGGAGGATTTGGATCTCCTGTCGGGTAGCTTCCAGCATGTGATTCGAATCGCCAGACTCGGCCGCTCCGAGATCGATGATTTTGGCCGCAAACTCCTTGCCCGTTTCCTTTTCGATGCATCGCCGAACGGTCGAACTGATGCCTCTGTGCGTGGTGGTGGTGGTGGTGGTGGGGTTGTAGTGCATCAGATGGCGATGGAGAACACGAATCGAGAGCGTGGGAGGAAGGGAGAAGAACGAACAAAGGTTGGAAGTTAGTAGCGTGAATCACAATGTGAGTTCGGTTTCACGATCGATTCGAGAGCAACAAAGAAGGGTGTGGATGAGAAAATGTGGCCACATTAGGTCATACTGTTGGGATTTCATCATAATACCTATCAGTTAAATAATGCTGAAATCTTCCGGAATCGTAACTCTTAATTGCTAAATAAAGTTTTATTTGTAAAGCAGCCGTTCACATATTTCCTAGCATGTAAAACTTTCATGCCGTTGGCTCTCGTTGTGATTTTGACTCGATATTGAAGGGATCATCGAATGATAGAATTATCGAGTAATAGAACCGCAATCCCATAGGCTCCAAAATCACCATCACAATAGCCATGAACTACATTTTGACTATGGTTCTTTAGTCGATACGGAGTTTGTGGAAATCGAATTGTAGAGAGTTCACTGTATTCTATTGTAATGTACTTTTACTCGGATTATGGCTTTTCTAATCTTATTATCTAATTTATTTATTAAACTCGAATCAGTATTTTATAGGATTACCCGTCCTCCCACCCACACATGTCTACTCTCAGATTAAGTATCCCCACCCTCCCCTATTCAATATTCTCGTCATGGAGTGCATAATTTTCAATGCAATTGTTGAGTTCTGAAGAAATACTACACTCTAGGGATTCGCTCCAGAAACTATTGGAAATCACACTCGCAGAATTACCTTGGAATTCTCCTCAAAATTCCCTAAGTATTCTCTCATGTATGGAGTTATGCTCCTAATTCCTAATTAATTATGCTAAAAAATTTCATGGAATGCTCCTGGAACCCTTCTTAGAATTTCAATTATATTCTCTTTGGAACATTCTTCGGAATTCTTTCGAAATTTTTCTAAGATTCCGTCTTTAAAATTCTTTTTGAATTATCTTTATAATTTTCTCGAAATTCAAATTAGAACAACTAATAAATAATTTAGAATTAGCTTCTGATTCCCTTAGAATTTGTATTAATTACCTTGGAATTCCAGTCAGAAGTCCCTTGAAATTCTAGTCACAACTCCGTTTGCATTCTTCCTCTGAATTCCCTTGGAATTGTTCTCAGAATGGCTATCCTTAAAATACACATCGAATTCTCTTTAGCATTCACAAAATTCCAATAGAATTATGCATTGACTTCCATTTAAACTCTCCTCGCTTCTTCTTCTTCTTCTTACTCGCATTTCAAGCTTATTGCTTATCGCATATTAGCTTATTGCGTGCTCTCAACTTAGTGTTCTAGATGCACTTCCACAGATATTAATTTAGAGCTTTTGATGGCTGTACCATTTCTTCATTAGTAATTAATGTGTGGCAAGTACAATCATAATACTCTATGCCCAGGGAAGTCGAGAAATTTTCCAACCCGAAAAATTCCTAGACTGGATCTGGAATCGAACTTAGCCACCTCCAGCATGATCTTGCTTTGTAGCTGCGCCTTTATCGAATGAGCAGGGAACTCTCCTCGCTATTCCCTTTAAGCTATATGCTTTTTTTTTCCTCTGTTCGGGACCTAACACCACTGCGACCAGTAATTTGATCTACTGTAGTATATCCCGTGTCTTTAGTTTAGTGCATGTCGTATTACTCCATCACTATTGATAAATGATAAAGTATTCGATTTTTTAACAGTTGTCATTCTTGCATTTATTGCAAGGATCCGACTCTAATTGAAAGGTTCCGCTATTTATACCCTTCGGAGTGTTGAAACACCCTCCATAGGCGCGCCCCCCTGTCAGTCAAAATTGGATTCCTTAGCATCAAAATTAAGGAATTACTCTGATAATGACCATGCATCAGAACCTTAGTCTTAACCACTTCAAACTAGAGAACAACGAATAGAAGATTAGAAATCACATAGATGAAGACTAACAACTCATTTTTTCCTTGTTTCAAGATCATCCTCGGTGGGCAAAGCCGAGTCTTGTCACTATCAACAAGGCATAAAAAGTAACAAGGACTAAGATGTGTTCCTTGGATTACTGAAAAATCCTGTTCCCCTAGTTTGAAGTAGTCAGGACTAGGAATCGGTGGTAGATCTTACATCCCGTAACGTACCACGAAAAGGTGATCTACCCACGTTACGGGGCTATATGCTTATTATGTATGCTACGGGAATGTATACCTGCACACTAAGAAATAACTAATTTTACACGAATCCGTCATTGATATACAAGATGAGACGTAAACAAACATGTCGTGTAATATTAAAGGGTGTCCCGCATCAAATTACATCACGGAAAAAAAAACCCTGTAGAAAATTTGGGTAGAAGTAGTTTAGAGTGTATTGTTTACACTGTATTTTTATCGCTGTCAGTTTTTCGAAAGTTGGAAAAAATGGCGTCACAAGAAAAGCAACGTCGCGAATTGATTTTGCCCAAGTACCAGGAAAATCCTCAGCTCTCTCATCGGGACATCAGAAAACAACTCGGAATCGTGCAGTAAACGGTGAGTCGTGTGATTAAACGTTACTACAAAACTCTGAGCATCTAACGGAGGGAGAAATACGGTCAGAATGGATGTTCTATTAGTGATAAGCAGCGAATCCAAACACATACAGCAACGAACGATACAGACAAAACGGTTGCTACGACTACCATGACAAACTCGCTCTGTAACATAGCTCGATCCGAGTGGTAGAAGGATAATAATATATTGCTTGCCTGCTTTGTTGCAATATACACGGATGAGGACATAGCTTGATATGAATCGAGAAAAGACATAACAAAAAAATCCCACTAACACACGTGTATCATGTTCGGCTTTACTTCGTGAAGCAGCTTGCCAACAATTTTCTCGTTTCCTTCTACCGCCCCGAGTGAGTTGTGTCACACGGGCTGCTTGTCATGAAAAAGAAGGAAGAAGATTATATCATTATTGCTTTGCACTTGTGACATAGCGTTATTATCCGGTTCGTTGATCGCTTATCATTTTGTCATTTGGAGATATTTTTGATTCCTTGGTGATAAGTGTCGTGAAAGCGTTTAAGCGGAATCCAAATGCTTCGGTCAGGGATGTGGCCAAAAAGTTGAATCTGACCAAGTCTTTCATACAGAGAGCCAAGTACCGGGAGGGACTGCTTACGTACAAAGTGCAGAAGGCTGCAAATCGTGACGAACGGCAAAATACGGTGGGATAGTCACGGGCCCGGAAACTGTACACCCAGATGCTGACGAAGCCTCATTGTCTCATCATGGATGATGAGACTTACGTCAAGGCGGACTTCCAGCATCTTCCGGGGCTACTGTTCTGCACAAGTTTGATGTTCCGGAGGAAGTAAGGAAGCAGAAACTTTCAAAGTTTGCCAAGAAATACATGATTTGGCAAGCGATCTGCTCATGTGGCAAACGGAGTGCACCGTTCGTGACTACCTGACTTTAAACGGGGAAATCCACCTCAATGAGTATCTACAGAAGCGTCTGCTTCCTCTGTGAAGCAACACGAGGGCCCTACGAGCTTCTGGAAGGATCTAGCTTCGTGCCACTATTCAAATGTTGTTCTGGGAGTGGTACGAAGCCAACGGGGTCACATTCGTACCCAAGGACATGAAGCACCCCAACGCACCGGATCAAAAAATACTGGGCTATTATGAAGCAGGCAGTACAGAAGCATCCCAAGGAGGAAGACATATGAGGAAGACATGAAGAAAAAGTGGATTTCCGTACAGAAGAAGCTGCAGCCAGATGTTGTACAGAACCTTATGAGTGGAACTAAGCGTAAGGTGCGAGGGTGTGGTGAAGTAAATATGCCAAAAGCTTACTAATGGGTTATATTTTATTGTCTAAAAGTTTAAAGTTTTTTTACATGATGCAATTTGATGTGGGACACCCTTTATTGAGCACATTTTTCAAAAGCTCCTATTTGTTTTGATCGATTCTCTTCCTCGACTTTCTCAATTGATAACCACGGTTACCAACAGATTTCATGCTATTTTTGCCACATAGTTTGATGAAGGAAGTTCCCATGTACTTTCAACCATGGTGGGTATATAAATGGTGATACAGCTTTGTCACTATATTGGCGAGAAGGTCGCGAGGGGGGGGGGTTGTGCGGTTTTAATGCAAATTGTAAACAAACTCGGTCGCTGTCCCATACAAAAATCCAACATGGCTGAATCATGAATTTGACACATTAGAACACCTATATGTAGTCACCTTGCCTTCAACTACAAGCTAAATACGACCCGGCAATTGAGACACATCCTGGGGCATTGGCCGTTCGAGAAATTCCCGAAATAAGTCAATGTTTATATTGCCGGCTTGATTCCTTCTGGATAGCCAATGTCAATTTGTTCCTCGACTATAAACCAGCGCATGTGCACTGCAATCACATCTCGCATGATCGTGCCGTGATCTAATCGCATCCAGCCCAGCCCCATGCTAGTTTTATGTTTACCTAATGAACAATTTAGAACACATAATAACTGGACGAAGCACCACTGCCCTAGGGTTGATAGCCTCGCTTCGTCAATTCCTAAAAATTCACGTCTATGAACAGAAATCCCTTCAATCACAGTCGGCTGTTCATAGGAAGATAAGAGATGCCCTAACCCTAACAATGCACCGCATCCTATCTAGGAATTATTGGTGCAAACACAAGTCTAAGCCGCCTTTTGTTCCTTCAAGCTCCAACGGAGGGTGGCGCACACCGACACGGCTTGCTGCACAACAGCCTATAATACCCGCGTCAAGCAATCACTCGCGGGTGCTCGTTTCTAGAATGCAATGTAAATTTACTTTTTGAAACTACGCTGTTCCACCGGGGAACATTCAAGAAACCAGTGCGTCCGTCGTCGCCGTCGTGCCGGTCGGATAAAATTGTCACTTTGTTACGTGTACGGAGGATGCACGCGGAAGAAATTAGTCAATCTGCATGCAAACTGTTGCACTTGGGA